ACATGCAACGACACTGCGGCACTAGCCCCATTTTTCGTTTGCTGCTGCTCACACTCGGAGCTGTAACGGTCTGTGGCGTGTCACATAGAGAACCTCCATGTCCACGACGTCATTGCCGAAGCTGCGATCCAGGAACTCATGCGTCCCTCGATGCGTAGACGACCTGCACCTCCAGGACCTCGCCGTTGAAGCTGCGGTCCAGGAGTTCATGCCAGCTCCAGACGTCTGCGATCACATCTCCCTTCAACACGAGTTTTGTGGCTTCGAGGGGAATGGGTCCTGCAGGACTGCTGTCCAAGTCGTGCAGCAGGACTTCTCTGGCGCTGCGATACTGCAGCGTCTCTGCCGGGATTGGCTTCTTGGTCTCCTGTCGTCTGACACGTAGCTCTTGCAGGGATAGCCAGCGATCGGGGTTGTTGCCCTCGTGCAACTGAGCGAGCCAAGCTTCTCGGAAAGATCCGGGTGGTTCGAGTTGGCAGAGCGGGCGGTAAGGCTTCGAAGAATGGACTTCGGCACCTTGCAAGTTCAGGTACCGCACCGTCAAGTTGGCAAGACGCTCGTTGAACTCTTTCTGCATCTCCACTTCTCTGTCCCACTGTATTCCCTCACGTGCATCTTCTTCGGCTTCGCGCTGCATCTCTGTTTCGACCCAGTCCCAATCATCGAACCCGTCCTCACAGTCCGCCTGGTCGGCGTCGTGGATCGAGTGGTCTGTGCTCTGGAAGTCTTCGTCCATGACGTCGGACATCATTGTCGCACCAGTCGACCTGAGAAGCACGGGGCTGCGGCAAAGCTGACCGTCTGTGACGACAATGGTGAAGGCTTCCATATCTGAGGCTCGCACCGGACCACGGGCGAGTGATATCTGTTGAAGCTAGATAGCAGTTTGAGACTCAGTATGCTGTGGCGGCGGCCTTGAAGGATGTGCTGTCACAGGATGCTGCGCTGTGCACTTTCACAAGGCAACCTGCTAGCAACGATTCTGAATTCAAGAACTGCTAGACATGCATGTCCGTTTTGGCTTTCTGCCAGACACTGTCAAGACTAACAAAGTGAATCCAGGAGCCTCCTATCCTCGGAAACTCGCTGGCTGGGTGAGACCATCCCATATTAGTGGCAGCTGCACCTCTCGACCCCCATTCAGGTTGAGGATAAGGGTGGCGGCTGCGCCCTCGACCTCCGATTCAGGGTAAGCGCCCAACCCCCATTCAGGTTGAGGATAAGCGTGGCAGCTGCATCTCCCGACGCCCATTCAGGTTGAGGAGCACCTCCCGACCCCCATTCAGGTCGAGGATAAGCGTGGCGGCTGCGCTTCCCGACCTCCGATTCAGGGTAAGTGCCCAACCCCCATTCAGGTTGAGGATAAGCGTGGCAGCTGCACCTCCCGCCGCCCATTCAGGTTGAGGATAAGCGTGGCGGCTGCACCTCCCGACCCCCATTCATGTTGAGGATAAGCGTGGCGGCTGCGCTTCCCGACCCGCATTCAAGCATGGCAGTTGCACCTCTCGACCTCCATTCAGGTTGGTCTTCTCAGGTTGACACCACGCACCGGGGACCCCATATTGGCTGAGGATAACACACATGATCACACATGCGACCCCATGTTGGTTGAGGATATGCGCTCCGGCCTTGTCCCCGCCTCTGTCTTCTTCAGGTTGAGACCAGGCACCTGGGACCCCATATTGGTTGAGGATAGGCGTTCCGGGCTTGTCCCCGCCTCCGTCTTCTTCAGGTTGACACCACGCACCGGGGACCCATATTGGTTGAGGATAACGCACCTGGGACCCCATATTGGTTGAGGATAAGCGCTCCGGCCTTGTCCCCGCCTCCGTCTTCTTCAGGTTGACACCGCGCACCTGGGACCCAATATTGGTTGAGGATAAGCGCTCCACCGGCAACCCCATATTAATTGTGGATAACGCACCTGGGACCCCACATTGGTTGAGGATAAGCGCTCCGACCTCGTCCCCGCCTTGGTCTCTTGCAATGGAGACCACGCACTTGGGACCCCGTATTGGTTGAGGATAAGCACTTCGGCCTTGTCCCCTCCATCCTTTTCGAGTTGATACCACGGACCTGGGACCCCTCTTAGTTGAGGATAAGTGCTCCGACCTTGTCCCGGCCTCCGTCCTCTTCGAGTGGAGACCACGCACCTGGGACCCCATATTGGTTGAGGTTAAGCGCTCCGGCCTCGTCCCCGCCTCGGTCTTCTTGGAGTGGAGACCAGGCACCTGGGACCCCATATTGGTTGAGGATGCTCGCCCCGGCCTGGTCCCCGCCTCCATCCTTTTTTCGAGTTCAGACCACGCACCTATATATTAGTTGAGGATAAGCCGATCTTCTTGGAGAGACCACGCACCTCTGGTTGAGGATAAGCGTGGCGGCTGCGCCTCTTCCCCCTGGCCCCCATTCTGGTTGAGGATAAGCGTGGCGGCTGCACCTCTTCGCCTGGCACCGGAGGACTGGGACCCCATATTGGTTGAGGCTAAGCCCTCCGTCCTCGTCCCTGGCTTGCGTTCCTCAGGTCGAGACCTCACACCTCGGACCTCACATTGGTTGAGGATAAGCGCTCCGGCCTCGTCCCCGCCTCCGCTTTCCCTGAAACCCCATATTGGTTGAGGACAAGCACTCCGGCCTTGTCCGTGCCTTCGCCGTCTACTCAGCTTAAAACCGTGCACCTGAAACCCCATCTTGGTTGAGGATAAGCGCTCCGGCCTCGTCCCCGCCTTCGCCTTCTCACGCACCCAAGACCCCATGTGGGTCGAGTATGAGCCCTCCAGCCTCGTCCCGGACTGGGACCCCATATTGGTTGAGGATAAACCCTCCGTCCTCGTCCCTGGCTTGCGTTCCTCAGGTTAAGACCGCACACCTCGGACCTCACATTGGTTGAGGATAAGCGCTCCGGCCTCGTCCCTGCCTCCACTTTCCCTGAAACCCCATATTGGTTGAGGACAAGCACTCCGGCCTTGTCCGTGCCTTCGCCGTCTACTCAGCTTAAAACCGTGCACCTGAAACCCCATCTTGGTTGAGGATAAGCGCTCCGGCCTCGTCCCCGCCTTCGCCGTCTTCTCAGCTTCAGACCACGCACCTGAAACCCCATCTTGGTTGAGGATAAGGGCTCCGGCCTCGTTCCCGCTTCCGCTTTCCCTGAAACCCCATATTGGTTGAGGACAAGCACTCCGGCCTCGTCCGTGCCTTCGCCGTCTACTCAGCTTAAAACCGTGCACCTGAGACCCCATCTTGGTTGAGGATAAGCGCTCCGGCCTCGTCCCTGCCTCCGCTTTCCCTGAAACCCCATATTGGTTGAGGACAAGCACTCCGGCCTCGTCCGTGCCTTCGCCGTCTTCTCAGCTTAAAACCGTGCACCTGAAACCCCATCTTGGTTGAGGATAAGCGCTCCGGCCTCGTCCCCGCCTTCGCCTTCCTCGGCTTGAGACCATGCACCCGAGACTTAAGCGCTCCGGCTTCGTCCCCGCCTGTGCCGTCTTCTCAGCTTCAGACCAAGCACCTGAAACCCCATCTTGGTTGAGGATAAGCGCTCTGGCTTCGTCCCCGCCTCCGCCTTCCCTGAAACCCCATATTGGTTGAGGACAAGTGCTCCGGCCTCGTCCCCGCCTCCGCCGTCTTCCTCGGCTTGAGACCATGCACCCGAGACTTAAGCGCTCCGGCTTCGTCCCCGCCTGTGCCGTCTTCTCAGCTTCAGACCAAGCACCTGAAACCCCATCTTGGTTGAGGATAAGCGCTCTGGCTTCGTCCCCGCCTCCGCCTTCCCTGAAACCCCATATTGGTTGAGGACAAGTGCTCCGGCCTTGTCCCCGCCTCCGCCGTCTTCTCCGCTTAAAACCGTGTACCTGACAACCCATCTTGGTTGAGGATAAGCGCTCCGGCCTCGTCCCTACCTCCGCCGTCTTCTCAGCTTCAGACCAAGCACCTGAAACCCCATCTAGGTTGAGGATAAGTGCTCCGGCTTCGTCCCCGCCTCCGCCGTCTTCTCAGTTTCAGACCAAGCACCTAAAACCCCATCTTGGTTGAGGATAAGCGCTCCGGCTTCGTCTCGGCCTCCGGCGTCTTCTCAGCTTCAGATCAAGCACCTGAAACCCCATCTTGGTTGAGGATAAGCTCTTCGGCTTCGTCCCCGCCTCCGCCTTCTTCGGGTGGAGACCACGCACCTGGGAGCCCATATTGGTTGAGGACAAGGCTTCCCGGCTTCGTCCCTGCCTCCGCCTTCTTCGGGTTGAGACCACACACCTGAGAGCCCATGTTGGTTGAGGATAAGCGCTCCGGCCTCGTGGAGCCCATATTGGTTGAGGATAAGCGCTCCGGCCTCGTCCCCGCCTCGGCCGTTTTCTCAGCTTAAAACCATGCACCTGAACCCCCATCTTGGTTGAGGATAAGTGCTCCGGCCTCGTCCCGGCCTCCGCCGTCTTCTCGGCTTGAGACTACACACCTGGCACCCCATCTTGGTTGAGGATAAGTGCTCCGGCCTCGTCCCCGCCTCCGCCGTCTCCTGCTTGAGAACCTGAAGCTCCATCTTGGTTGAGGATAAGTGCTCCGGCCTCGTCCTCGCCTCCGCCGTCTTCTGCTTGAGATCCCACGCCTCGGAACCCCTTATTGGTTGGGGTTACGCCCTCCCGGCCGTGTCCTTGCATCCATCTCGTTCAGCTTGAGCTCTCACGCCTTGCAACCTTATATTGGTTGAGGATAAGCCCTCCCGGCCTTGTCCTCGCCTCCGTCTTCTTCAGCCTGAGCTTCCAGATCTCGGAACCCCATATTGGTCGAGGATAAGCCCTCCCGGCCGTGTCCTTGCTTCTGTCTTCTTCAGGCAAGCCTCGCAATCCCATCGTGCTTGCAGATAATGTCACCGGACACTGACGTAAGACGATCTATGTATTCTCGCAACTCACCTTTCTTCCCGTGTTATTGCTGTGTCACGTGTGAAACAATGTCCTTCAGCTAGGTGTCCTACGGCGAATGTGTTCTCTGATCATTATCAGAGCTTCGGCCGCGCGCTCGACCACAATCTTTGTTGCTTCGAATTTCCGTCTCAGGAGTTCCTCCTGCTTCTGCTTCCGGAGCTCTGTCCTCTCCTTCTGCTTCTTCTTCTTCTCGAAAGCCCGAAGGTTCGCGATGCAGAGACGGATGGTCTTCTTGGTGTTTCTCGGAAGCCCTTGTAGATCCTGGACTGAAAAGTATTGGAGTCGCCGGCCAAAGTCGAAGTCGTCTGTGGCTCTCGAAGCCAGCATCGGGTACCTGGAGAGTGCACCGATCAGCGCTAGGTGTCCTAGCCTCAGTGCCCAATCCGAGCGTCTCGTGAACTGCGAAATGGCCAGCTTCAGGTTGTGGGGTAGACGTGTCCATTTCTTTGCTGCCGTCCGGCAAGTGCAGTTTAAGGCGCTGAAAAGTACCGGTGTATCCATCGCGTCGAGCTGTCGTGAACTACTGGTTTCTATCGCACGCCTGAGCCCCAGTTGCAGCTGTGCCACAGGCTCGCTTGCCTCCCTTTCAAAGCCACCGGTCCATGATCCGACTAGTCTGGAACATGCGTGCATAGCTGACTGTGCGATCTCTTCATCACGACGACTTGTGAAGTGTACGCCTATCCCGGCCTTGTCTTTGTGAATTTGAGGCCTCGCGCTTGGGAACATGCACCTGGGACCGCATATTCTTTGAGGATACGCCCTCCAGTCTCGTCCCGGCCTCGTTCTTCTTGAGGTTGAAGTCTCGTGCCTGGGAGCATGCACCTGGGACACCATATTGGTTGAGGACAAGCGCTCCGGCCTCGTCCCCGCCTCCGCCGTCTTCTCAGCTTAAAACCATGCACCCGACACCCCATCTTGGTTGAGGATAAGCGCTCCGGCCTCGTCCCTACCTCCGCCGTCTTCTCAGCTTCAGACCAAGCACCTGAAACCCCATCTTGGTTGAGGATAAGCGCTCCGGCCTCGTCCCCGCCTCCGCCGTCTTCTCAGCTTAAAACCACGCACCTGAGACCCCATATTGGTTGAGGACAAGTGCTCCGGCCTCGTCCCCGCCTCCGCCGTCTTCTCAGCTTCAGACCATGCACCTGACACCCCATCTTGGTTGAGGATAAGCGCTCCGGCCTCGTCCCCGCCTCCGCCGTCTTCGGCTTGAGACCACGCACCTGAGACACCATCTTGGTTGAGGATAAGCGCTCCGGCCTCGTCCCCGCCTCCGCCGTCTTCTCAGCTTCAGACCAAGAACCTGAGACCCCATATTGGTTGAGGATAAGTGCTCCGGCCTCGTCCCCGCCTCCGCCGTCTTCTCAGCTTCAGACCAAGCACCTGAAACCCCATCTTGGTTGAGGATAAGCGCTCCGGCCTCGTCCCTACCTCCGCCGTCTTCTCAGCTTCAGACCAAGCACCTGACACCCCATCTTGGTTGAGGATAAGCGCTCCGGCCTCGTCCCCGCCTGCGCCTTCTTCGGCTTGAGACCACGCACCTGAGACCCCATCTTGGTTGATGATAAGCGCTCCGGCCTCGTCCCCGCCTCCGCCGTCTTCGGCTTGAGACCACGCACCTGAGACCCCATCTTGGTTGATGATAAGCGCTCCGGCCTCGTCCCCGCCTCCGCCGTCTTCTCAGCTTCAAACCATGCACCTGACACCCCAACTTGGTTGATGATAAGCGCTCCGCATCTTGGTTGAGGATACGTCCCCGCCTCCGGCCTGAGATCCCAGACTTCGGAAACCCATATTGGTTGAGGATATCTCTGGCCTGATCCCCGCCTCCGTGTTCTTCTCAGGTTGAGACCATGCACCTGAAGCCCCATATTGGTTGAGTATACGTGGGTTGAAGATAAGCGCTCCGGCCTCGTCCCCGCCTCCGTCTTCATCTCGGGTTGAGCCCACGTGCCTGGAACTCCATATTGGTTGAGGATAAACGCCCTGGCCTCGACCCCGCCCCTGCCTTCCTCGAGTTGAGACCATGCTATATCTCCCCGTATGTGTCTACTGAATGCTGAATAACAGCTGCGTCGGATAGGAGTCGCTCGTAGTCATCGGGCATACCCCAAGAGTGCATGCGCGTGATGCAAGTGCTTCCCGTGCACCTTTTGGACTCTCAAGGGAAGAGGTTCTTATCGCCGGACCTGGCGCTCAGACGGCTGCCGTGGCCTCCTGGGCTGTGCTGTGGCAGGGACGTGCCCGCATGTTCTTCTTCGTTGTGCTGGTCCGGCCTGGAAGACATCCTCTTCCCAGAAACAAATGCTGTCCGAAAGATACCACCAGGGTATCCACGCGCCGTGCGGCACCCTTTGCCAAATGTATCCTGGTTGCACGTCAGTGTGCAGGTTCTGTTCTCTCGCTCTTGCTTGCTGGCCTGCCCACCCATTCTTCCTGAGAAGATTTCTTTTCTCTTCGACGGTGGCACAGGCCTAGCGCAACTAGCGTCAACCACCGTCGGCAGATGCTGGCTTGGTGTGCGTTGCTCGGCCCCTGACGCCCAGTTGGCTCTTGATGCTGTCCAACGGGCTCGGAGCTTCGCGCTCCGGTTTCCCGGCTCTGTCACGGCGGCGGGGCCTGCAGCGCCATCGTGTTCAGCAGAGACATCACGAGCGCTTCTTAAGGCCCCGACGGACACAACCCGAGTCGGCGTGCACAGGGAGGGCCTCGATAAAGGTAAACGGCATATCAGGACTCCTCCCTCGTAGAGCGTCCGAGGCTCGGGCACAACATCGCGTTGTGTGTCTCTTCTCCCTCGTATCCGGGGTCGATGCCCAAGTATCGGGCATATTCCTTGCACTCCTGGCGTAAAAACAAAGCCGAGTAAATGAGAAGTAGTTTCCCGCGACACATCCTCAGGTGCGGGCGCAGCACCGCAGTATACCTTCCGATCTCTCGAAACAGATTGTCCCTGTCGCCATAGCTTCTCCGAGGGGGACCGCTGGCTAGGAATTGCTCAATGAACAAGAGCTGCGTTCATAAGCTGCTGGGAGCAGGTACTCCTGCATGCGTCTGGCTGCACTACATGCTCAGTGATGGTCTCTTTCTCTGATATCCTTTTGCAATTGTCCCGCTTGCGAGCGCGGATACTCCATGGCTCGCCTTCGGCGACTCCGTCTCCTTCAGTGTTCGCCTGAATGGGACTCCGTATTGAGGATAAGCCCTCCCGGCCGTGTCTTTGCCTCTGTCTTGTTTAGCTTGAGCTTCCACACCGTCTTCTTCGGCTTGAGCTTCCACATCTCGGAAACCCATATTGATTGAGGATAAGCCCTCCCGGCCTCGTCCTTGCCTCCGTCTTCTTCCGCTTGAGCTTCCACGCCTCGGAAACCCATATTGGTTGAGGATAAGCCCTCCCGGCCTCGTCCTTGCCCCCGTCTTCTTCCGCTTGAGCTTCCACGCCTCGGAAACCCATATTGGTTGAGGATAAGCCCTCCCGGCCTGGTCCTTGCCCCCGTCTTCTTCGGCTTGAGCGTCCACGCCTCGGAAACCCATATTGGCTGAGGATAAGCCCTCCCGGCCTCCTCCTTGCCTCTGTCTTCCTCCGCTTAAGCGTCCACGCCTCGGAAACCCATATTGGTTGAGGATAAGCCCTCCCGGCCTCCTCCTTGCCTCTGTCTTCTTCCGCTTGAGCGTCCACGCCTCGGAAACCCATATTGGCTGAGGATAAGCCCTCCCGGCCTCCTCCTTGCCTCTGTCTTCCTCCGCTTAAGCGTCCACGCCTCGGAAACCCATATTGGTTGAGGATAAGCCCTCCCGGCCTCCTCCTTGCCTCTGTCTTCTTCCGCTTGAGCGTCCACGCCTCGGAAACCCATATTGGCTGAGGATAAGCCCTCCCGGCCTCCTCCTCCATATTGGTTGAGGATACACTCTCCCGGCCTTGTCGTTGCCCTTCTGCAGCTTGAGGGAAACCCATATTGGTTGGGGATAAACCCTCCCGGCCTTGTTCTTGCCCTTCTTCAGCTTGAGCTTCCACGCCTCGGAAACCCATATTGGTTGAGGATAAGTCCTCCCGGCCTTGTCCTTGCCTCTGTCTTCTTCAGCTTGAGCTTCTACGCCTCGGAAACCCATATTGGTTGAGGAGAAGCTCTCCCGGCCTTGTCCTTGCCTCCGTCTACTTCAGCTTGAGCTTCCACGCCTCGGAAACCCATATTGGTTGAGGATATTCTTCTTTTCTTCAGCTTGAGCCTTCTACGCCTCGGAAACCCATATTGGTTGAGGATACACTCTCCCGGCCTTGTCGTTGCCCTTCTGCAGCTTGAGGGAAACCCATATTGGTTGGGGATAAACCCTCCCGGCCTTGTTCTTGCCCTTCTTCAGCTTGAGCTTCCACGCCTCGGAAACCCATATTGGTTGAGGATAAGTCCTCCCGGCCTTGTCCTTGCCTCTGTCTTCTTCAGCTTGAGCTTCTACGCCTCGGAAACCCATATTGGTTGAGGAGAAGCTCTCCCGGCCTTGTCCTTGCCTCCGTCTCCTTCAGCTTGAGCTTCCACGCCTCGGAAACCCATATTGGTTGAGGATATTCTTCTTCAGCTTGAGCTTCCACGCCTCGGAAACCCATTGGTTTGAGGATAAGCCCTCCCGGCCTTGCCTCTGTCTTCTTCGACTTGTGAGCTTCCACACCTCGGAAACCCATACTGGTTGAGGATAAACCCTCCCGGCCTTGTCGTTGCGCTTCTGCAGCTTGAGACGCCACGTCTTGGAAACCCATATTGGTTGATGATAAACCCTCCCGGCCTTGTCCTTGCCCTTCTTCAGCTTGAGCTTCCACGCCTCGGAAACCCATATTGGTTGAGGATGGCTCACCCCCGGCCTTGTCCCTGCCTCTGTCTTCTTCAGCTTGAACTTCCACACCTCGGAACCCCATATTGGTTGAGGATGAGCCCTCCCGGCCTTGTCCCTGCCCCTGTCTTCTTCAGCTTGAGCTTTCACGCCTCGGAAACCCATACTGGTTGAGGATGAGCCCCCCCCCGGCCGTGTCCCTACCTGTGTCTTCTTCAGCTTGAACTTCCGCACCTCGGAACCCCATGTTGGTTGAGGATGGGCCCTCCCAGCCTTGTCCTTGCATAGGTACTCCGGCCTCTCCTCGCCTCCGTCCTGTTCGAGTTGAGACCACGCACCTCGGACCCGATATTGGTTGAGGACAAGTGCTCCGGCCTGGTTCCCGCCTCCATCCTCTTCAAGTTGAGACCGCGCACCTGGGACCCCATATTGCTTGAGGATAGGCACTCCGGCCTGGTCTCGGCTTCTGTTCTCTCCAGACCACGAACCTGGGAACCCATGACAGTTGAGGATAGGCGATCCGGCCTTGTCGCCGCCTCCGTCTTCTTCAGGTTGAGACCACGCGCCGAGAACGTATTCTGAGAGTAAGTCCTTCGAGCCTGTTGTCGCCTCCTCTTGAAGCTCGCCTTCTTCTGGCTTCAAGCACCTGGCACTGATGCACGCTGCGGTAGGGCGCGCACCTAGGACCCCATATCGGTTGAGGATAAGTGCTCCGCCCTCGTCCCCACCTTCACCTTCTTCGGGCCGAGATCGCGTACCTGGGACTCCACGTTGGTCGAGGATAAGCGCTCCGGCCTCGTCCCCGCCTCCGCTTTCGCACCTGGGACCCCATATTGGTTGAGGATAAGCGCTCCGGCCTCGTCCCTGCCGAGCACGCACCTGGGACCCCAGCTCCGGCCTCGTCCCCGCCTCCGCCTTCTTCGGGCTGAGACCACGCGCCTGGAACCCCATATTGCGCCGGCCTGGTCCGCGAGAGCACGCACCTGGGACCCCATATTGGTTGAGGATAAGCGCTCCCGCCTCCGAGCGCGCGCCTGGAACATATTGGTTGAGGATAAGCGCTCCGGTCTCGTCGCCTTCTTCGGGCTGAGACCACGCACCTGGGACCCCATGTTGGTTGAGGATGAGTGCTCCGGCCTCGTCCCTGCCTCCGCCTTCTTCGACTGAGACCACGCACCTGGAACCCCACATTGGTTGAGGATAATCAGCGTTCACCTCCTCACTTCGGTCTCTTGGGGTTGGGACACCATGCAGGCGAGCCTGCACGGCTTCGTTCCCGCTCCCGGCCTTCTTCTTCTTGAGGATACGCACCTGGCACTCCACGCTGGTTGCGGTCTAAGTGAGCGGGTTGTTAGTTGAGGATTGTTTTTTGGTGTCTGCCCACTACCCCCCGTGAGACTCGTGCCACCCCCCCGGAGGAGGCACCGGGTGGGGAGGGGGAGGGAAGGGGGGAGGGTGGGGGAGGGGGCCGGGGAGGGGTGGGAACCAACACCCCATTTCAGTTGAGGATTGTTTTTTGGTGTCTGCCCACTACCCTCCCGCCCCAGGAGGAGGGGGGAGGGCGCTCAGGGGGAGGGGGGGCGGGGGGAAGACCCCACACCCCATTTTAGTTGAGGATTGTTCTCTCGGCCTTGTCGCTGAGACCACACACCTCGGCAACCACATTGGTTGAGGCTCAAGCTTCCATACCTTGGATTGTCCTTGCCTCTGTCTTCTTCGGCTTGAGCTTCCACACCTCGGAACCCCATACCGGTTGAGGATAAGCCTTCCCGCCTTGTCTCTGCCTCTGTCTTCTTCGGCTGGAGCTTCCATACCCCGGAAACCCACATCGGTTGAGTATAAACCCTCCCGGCCTTATCCTTGCCTCTGTCTTCTTCGACTTGTGAGCTTCCACGCCTCGGAAACCCGTACTAGTTGAGGATAAACCCTCCCGGCCTTGTCGTTGCGCTTCTGCAGCTTGAGACCCCACGTCTTGGAAACCCATATTGGTTGATGATACACCCTCCCGGCCTTGTCCTTGCCCTTCTTCAGCTTGAGCTTCCACGCCTCGGAAACCCATACTGGTTGAGGATGAGCCCCCCCCCGGCCTTGTCCCTACCTGTGTCTTCTTCAGCTTGAACTTCCACACCTCGGAACCCCATGTTGGTTGAGGATGGGCCCTCCCGGCCTTGTCCTTGCCTCGGAAACTTATATTGGTTGAGGATAAGCCCTCCCGGCCTCGTTCTTACCTCTGTCTTCTTCAGCTTGAGCTTCCTGGGGCCACGCACTTCGAACCCCGGCCTTGTCCTTGCCTCCGTCGTCTTTTTGCTGGGGTCACGCACCTCGGACCTCATATTGGTTGAGGCCTCGTCCTTTCTCTTTTCTCCAAGATGAAACCATGCACCTGGGACCCTATCTTGGTTGAGGATAGGCACTCCGGCCTCTCCTCGCCTCCGTCCTGTTCGAGTTGAGACCACGCACCTCGGACCCGATATTGGTTGAGGAGAAGTGCTCCGGCCTGGTTCCCGCCTCCATCCTCTTCAAGTTGAGACCGCGCACCTGGGACCCCATATTGATTGAGGATAGGCACTCCGGCCTGGTCTCGGCTTCTGTTCTCTCCAGACCACGAACCTGGGAACCCATGACAGTTGAGGATAGGCGATCCGGCCTTGTCGCCGCCTCTGTCTTCTTCAGGTTGAGACCACGCGCCGAGAACGTATTCTGAGAGTAAGTCCTTCGAGCTTGTTGTCGCCTCCTCTTGAAGCTCGCCTTCTTCTGGCTTCAAGCACCTGGCACTGATGCACGCTGCGGTAGGGCACGCACCTAGGACCCCATATCGGTTGAGGATAAGTGCTCCGCCCTCGTCCCCACCTTCACCTTCTTCGGGCCGAGATCGCGTACCTGGGACTCCACGTTGGTCGAGGATAAGCGCTCCGGCCTCGTCCCCGCCTCCGCTTTCGCACCTGGGACCCCTTATTGGTTGAGGATAAGCGCTCCGGCCTCGTCCCTGCCGAGCACGCACCTGGGACCCCAGCTCCGGCCTCGTCCCCGCCTCCGCCTTCTTCGGGCTGAGACCACGCGCCTGGAACCCCATATTGCGCCGGCCTGGTCCGCGAGAGCACGCACCTGGGACCCCATATTGGTTGAGGATAAGCGCTCCCGCCTCCGAGCACGCGCCTGGAACATATTGGTTGAGGAAAAGCGCTCCGGCCTCGTCGCCTTCTTCGGGCTGAGACCACGCACCTGGGACCCCATATTGGGTGAGGATAAGTGCTCCGGCCTCGTCCCTGCCTCCGCCTTCTTCGACTGAGACCACGCACCTGGGACCCCACATTGGTTGAGGATAATCAGCGCTCACCTCCTCACTTCGGTCTTCTTGGGGTTGGGACCACGTACCTGGGACACCATGCAGGCGAGCCTGCACGGCTTCGTTCCCGCTCCCGGCCTTTTTCTTCTTGACGCACCTGGCACTCCACGCTGGTTGCGGTTTGGGAGGGGGGTGGGAGGGGCAGAGCGAGGAGGGGAGGGAGGGGGACCCTCCGGAGGGGGCACCGGGTGGGGGGGGGAGGGAGGGGGGAGGGGTGCGGGGGAAGAGTGGGAACCAAGATTGTTTTTTGGTGTCTGCCCACTACCCTCCCGCCCCAGGAGGAGGGGGGAGGGCGCTCAGGGGGAGGGGGGGCGGGGGGAAGACCCCACACCCCATTTTAGTTGAGGATTGTTCTCTCGGCCTTGTCGCTGAGACCACACACCTCGGCAACCACATTGGTTGAGGCTCAAGCTTCCATACCTTGGATTGTCCTTGCCTCTGTCTTCTTCGGCTTGAGCTTCCACACCTCGGAACCCCATACCGGTTGAGGATAAGCCTTCCCGCCTTGTCTCTGCCTCTGTCTTCTTCGGCTGGAGCTTCCATACCCCGGAAACCCACATCGGTTGAGTATAAACCCTCCCGGCCTTATCCTTGCCTCTGTCTTCTTCGATTTGTGAGCTTCCACGCCTCGGAAACCCGTACGAAGACCCCACACCCCATTTTAGTTGAGGATTGTTCTCTCGGCCTTGTCGCTGAGACCACACACCTCGGCAACCACATTGGTTGAGGCTCAAGCTTCCATACCTTGGATTGTCCTTGCCTCTGTCTTCTTCGGCTTGAGCTTCCACACCTCGGAACCCCATACCGGTTGAGGATAAGCCTTCCCGCCTTGTCTCTGCCTCTGTCTTCTTCGGCTGGAGCTTCCATACCCCGGAAACCCACATCGGTTGAGTATAAACCCTCCCGGCCTTATCCTTGCCTCTGTCTTCTTCGATTTGTGAGCTTCCACGCCTCGGAAACCCGTACTAGTTGAGGATAAACCCTCCCGGCCTTGTCGCTGCGCTTCTGCAGCCTGAGACCCCACGTCTTGGAAACCCATATTGGTTGATGATACACCCTCCCGGCCTTGTCCTTGCCCTTCTTCAGCTTGAGCTTCCACGCCTCGGAAACCCATACTGGTTGAGGATGAGCCCCCCCCCGGCCTTGTCCCTACCTGTGTCTTCTTCAGCTTGAACTTCCACACCTCGGAACCCCATGTTGGTTGAGGATGGGCCCTCCCGGCCTTGTCCTTGCCTCGGAAACTTATATTGGTTGAGGATAAGCCCTCCCGGCCTCGTTCTTACCTCTGTCTTCTTCAGCTTGAGCTTCCTGGGGCCACGCACTTCGAACCCCGGCCTTGTCCTTGCCTCCGTCGTCTTTTTGCTGGGGTCACGCACCTCGGACCTCATATTGGTTGAGGCCTCGTCCTTTCTCTTTTCTCCAAGATGAAACCATGCACCTGGGACCCTATCTTGGTTGAGGATAGGCACTCCGGCCTCTCCTCGCCTCCGTCCTGTTCGAGTTGAGACCACGCACCTCGGACCCGATATTGGTTGAGGAGAAGTGCTCCGGCCTGGTTCCCGCCTCCATCCTCTTCAAGTTGAGACCGCGCACCTGGGACCCCATATTGATTGAGGATAGGCACTCCGGCCTGGTCTCGGCTTCTGTTCTCTCCAGACCACGAACCTGGGAACCCATGACAGTTGAGGATAGGCGATCCGGCCTTGTCGCCGCCTCTGTCTTCTTCAGGTTGAGACCACGCGCCGAGAACGTATTCTGAGAGTAAGTCCTTCGAGCTTGTTGTCGCCTCCTCTTGAAGCTCGCCTTCTTCTGGCTTCAAGCACCTGGCACTGATGCACGCTGCGGTAGGGCACGCACCTAGGACCCCATATCGGTTGAGGATAAGTGCTCCGCCCTCGTCCCCACCTTCACCTTCTTCGGGCCGAGATCGCGTACCTGGGACTCCACGTTGGTCGAGGATAAGCGCTCCGGCCTCGTCCCCTCCGGCCTCGTCCCTGCCGAGCACGCACCTGGGACCCCAGCTCCGGCCTCGTCCCCGCCTCCGCCTTCTTCGGGCTGAGACCACGCGCCTGGAACCCCATATTGCGCCGGCCTGGTCCGCGAGAGCACGCACCTGGGACCCCATATTGGTTGAGGATAAGCGCTCCCGCCTCCGAGCACGCGCCTGGAACATATTGGTTGAGGAAAAGCGCTCCGGCCTCGTCGCCTTCTTCGGGCTGAGACCACGCACCTGGGACCCCATATTGGGTGAGGATAAGTGCTCCGGCCTCGTCCCTGCCTCCGCCTTCTTCGACTGAGACCACGCACCTGGGCCCCCACATTGGTTGAGGATAATCAGCGCTCACCTCCTCACTTCGGTCTTCTTGGGGTTGGGACCACGTACCTGGGACACCATGCAGGCGAGCCTGCACGGCTTCGTTCCCGCTCCCGGCCTTTTTCTTCTTGAGGATACGCACCTGGCACTCCACGCTGGTTGCGGTCTAAGTGAGCGGGTTTGGGAGGGGTGGGAGGGGCAGAGCGAGGGGGAGGGAAGGGAGCGGGGGAGGGAAGGGGGGGAGGGAGGGGGGGAACCCTCCGGAGGGGGCACCGGGTGGGGGGGGGGAGGGAGGGGGGGGAGGGGTGCGGGGGAAGGGGAACCCACACCCCATTTTAGTTGAGGATTGTTTTTTGGTGTCTGCCCACTACCCCCTGTGAGACTCGTGCCACCCCCCCGGAGGAGGCACCGGGTGGGGAGGAGGAGGGAAGGGGGGAGGGTGGGGGAGGGGGCCGGGGAGGGGTGGGAACCAACACCCCATTTTAGTTGAGGATTGTTTTTTGGTGTCTGCCCACTACCCCCGTGAGACTCGTGCCACCCCCCGGAGGAGGCACCGGGTGGGGAGGGGGAGGGAAGGGGGGGAGGGTGGGGGAGGGGGCCGGGGAGGGGTGGGAACCAACACCCCATTTCAGTTGAGGATTGTTTTTTGGTGTCTGCCCACTACCCTCCCGCCCCAGGAGGAGGGGGGAGGGCGCTCAGGGGGAGGGGGGGCGGGGGGAAGACCCCACACCCCATTTTAGTTGAGGATTGTTCTCTCGGCCTTGTCGCTGAGACCACACACCTCGGCAACCACATTGGTTGAGGCTCAAGCTTCCATACCTTGGATTGTCCTTGCCTCTGTCTTCTTCGGCTTGAGCTTCCACACCTCGGAACCCCATACCGGTTGAGGATAAGCCTTCCCGCCTTGTCTCTGCCTCTGTCTTCTTCGGCTGGAGCTTCCATACCCCGGAAACCCACATCGGTTGAGTATAAACCCTCCCGGCCTTATCCTTGCCTCTGTCTTCTTCGACTTGTGAGCTTCCACGCCTCGGAAACCCGTACTAGTTGAGGATAAACCCTCCCGGCCTTGTCGTTGCGCTTCTGCAGCTTGAGACCCCACGTCTTGGAAACCCATATTGGTTGATGATACACCCTCCCGGCCTTGTCCTTGCCCTTCTTCAGCTTGAGCTTCCACGCCTCGGAAACCCATACTGGTTGAGGATGAGCCCCCCCCCGGCCTTGTCCCTACCTGTGTCTTCTTCAGCTTGAACTTCCACACCTCGGAACCCCATGTTGGTTGAGGATGGGCCCTCCCGGCCTTGTCCTTGCCTCGGAAACTTATATTGGTTGAGGATAAGCCCTCCCGGCCTCGTTCTTACCTCTGTCTTCTTCAGCTTGAGCTTCCTGGGGCCACGCACTTCGAACCCCGGCCTTGTCCTTGCCTCCGTCGTCTTTTTGCTGGGGTCACGCACCTCGGACCTCATATTGGTTGAGGCCTCGTCCTTTCTCTTTTCTCCAAGATGAAACCATGCACCTGGGACCCTATCTTGGTTGAGGATAGGCACTCCGGCCTCTCCTCGCCTCCGTCCTGTTCGAGTTGAGACCACGCACCTCGGACCCGATATTGGTTGAGGAGAAGTGCTCCGGCCTGGTTCCCGCCTCCATCCTCTTCAAGTTGAGACCGCGCACCTGGGACCCCATATTGATTGAGGATAGGCACTCCGGCCTGGTCTCGGCTTCTGTTCTCTCCAGACCACGAACCTGGGAACCCATGACAGTTGAGGATAGGCGATCCGGCCTTGTCGCCGCCTCTGTCTTCTTCAGGTTGAGACCACGCGCCGAGAACGTATTCTGAGAGTAAGTCCTTCGAGCTTGTTGTCGCCTCCTCTTGAAGCTCGCCTTCTTCTGGCTTCAAGCACCTGGCACTGATGCACGCTGCGGTAGGGCACGCACCTAGGACCCCATATCGGTTGAGGATAAGTGCTCCGCCCTCGTCCCCACCTTCACCTTCTTCGGGCCGAGATCGCGTACCTGGGACTCCACGTTGGTCGAGGATAAGCGCTCCGGCCTCGTCCCCGCCTCCGCTTTCGCACCTGGGACCCCATATTGGTTGAGGATAAGCGCTCCGGCCTCGTCCCTGCCGAGCACGCACCTGGGACCCCAGCTCCGGCCTCGTCCCCGCCTCCGCCTTCTTCGGGCTGAGACCACGCGCCTGGAACCCCATATTGCGCCGGCCTGGTCCGCGAGAGCACGCACCTGGGACCCCATATTGGTTGAGGATAAGCGCTCCCGCCTCCGAGCACGCGCCTGGAACATATTGGTTGAGGATAAGCGCTCCGGCCTCGTCGCCTTCTTCGGGCTGAGACCACGCACCTGGGACCCCATATTGGTTGAGGATGAGTGCTCCGGCCTCGTCCCTGCCTCCGCCTTCTTCGACTGAGACCACGCACCTGGAACCCCACATTGGTTGAGGATAATCAGCGCTCACCTCCTCACTTCGGTCTCTTGGGGTTGGGACCACGTACCTGGGACACCATGCAGGCGAGCCTGCACGGCTTCGTTCCCGCTCCCGGCCTTCTTCTTCTTGAGGATACGCACCTGGCACTCCACGCTGGTTGCGGTCTAAGTGAGCGGGTTTGGGAGGGGGTGGGAGGGGCAGAGCGGGGGAGGGAAGGGAGCGGGGGAGGGAAGGGGGGGAGGGAGGGGGGGGACCCTCCGGAGGGGGCACCGGGTGGGGGGGGAGGGAGGGGGGGGAGGGTAAGCCCCACACCCCATTTTAGTTGAGGATTGTTTTTTGGTGTCTGCCCACTACCCCCCGTGAGACTCGTGCCACCCTCCGGAGGAGGCACCGGGTGGGGAGGGGGAGGGAGGGGGGGAGGGTGGGGGAGGGGGGCGGGGAGGGGCGGGAACCAACGCCCCATTTTAGTTGAGGATTGTCTTTTGGTGTCTGCCCACTACCCTCCCGGCCCAGGAGGGGGGGGGGAGGGCAGGGGAGGGGGGGCGGGGGGGAGACCCCGCACCCCATTGATTTCTGCCACTACCTTCTTTCAGAATTCGTGCCACCCTGCCACCTCTGGAAGGGAGGCCGTCAATAGGGCATGGGAGGGGGAGGGAGGGGGAGGGGGAAGGTCGGCTAGCTCCTGAACTGCATACCTTCAGGTTCCTGTTTTGTTTGAGGAAAAGCTCTCCGGATAAGCCCTCTCCGCCTTGTCGCTGAGACCACACACCTCGGCAACCCACATTGGTTGAGGCTCAAGCTTCCATACCCTGGATTGTCCTTGCCTCTGTCTTCTTCGGCTTGAGCTCCCACACCTCGGAACCCCATACCGGTTGAGGATAAGCCTTCCCGCCTTGTCCCTGCCTCTGTCTTCTTCGGCTTGAGCTTCCACACCCCGGAAACCCACATCGGTTGAGGATAAGCTCTCCCGGCCTTGCCGTTGCCTCTGTCTTCTTCGACTTGTGAGCTTCCGCACCTCGGAAACCCACATCGGTTGAGGATAAGCTCTCCCGGCCTTGCCGTTGCCTCTGTCTTCTTCGACTTTTGAGCTTCCGCACCTCGGAAACCCATACTGGTTGAGTATAAACCCTCCCGGCCTTGTCCTTGCCTCTGTCTTCTTCGACTTGTGAGCTTCCACACCTCGGAAACCCATACTAGTTGAGGATAAACCCTCCCGGCCTTGTCATTGCGCTTCTGCAGCTTGAGACCCCACGTCTTGGAAACCCATATTGGTTGATGATAAACCCTCCCGGCCTTGTCCTTGCCCTTCTTCATCTTGAGCTTCCCCGCCTCGGAAACTTATATTGGTTGAGGATAAGCCCTCCCGGCCTCGTTCTTGCCTCTGTCTTCTTCAGCTTGAGCTTCCTGGGGCCACGCACTTCGAACCCCGGCCTTGTCCTTGCCTCCGTCGTCTTTTTGCTGGGGTCACGCACCTCGGACCTCATATTGGTTGAGGACTCGTCCTTTCTCTTTTCTCCAAGATGAAACCATGCACCTGGGAGCCTATCTTGGTTGAGGATAGGCACTCCGGCCTCTCCTCGCCTCCGTCCTGTTCGAGTTGAGACCACGCACCTCCGACCCGGTTTTGGTTGAGGAGAAGTGCTCCGGCCTGGTTCCCGCCTCCATCCTCTTCAAGTTGAGACCGCGCACCTGGGACCCCATATTGATTGAGGATAGGCACTCCGGCCTGGTCTCGGCTTCTGTTCTCTCCAGACCACGAACCTGGGAACCCATGCCAGTTGAGGATAGGCGATCCGGCCTTGTCGCCGCCTCTGTCTTCTTCAGGTTGAGACCACGCGCCGAGAACGTATTCTGAGAGTAAGTCCTTCGAGCTTGTTGTCACCTCCTCTTGAAGCTCGCCTTCTTCTGGCTTCAAGCACCTGGCACTGATGCACGCTGCGGTAGGGCACGCACCTAGGACCCCATATCGGTTGAGGATAAGTGCTCCGCCCTCGTCCCCACCTCCACCTTCTTCGGGCCGAGATCGCGTACCTGGGACTCCACGTTGGTCGAGGATAAGCGCTCCGGCCTCGTCCCCGCCTCCGCTTTCCCACCTGGGACCCCATATTGGTTGAGGATAAGCGCTCCGGCCTCGTCCCTGCCGAGCACGCACCTGGGACCCCAGCTCCGGCCTCGTCCCCGCCTCCGCCTTCTTAGGGCTGAGACCACGCGCCTGGAACCCCATATTGCGCCGGCCTGGTCCGCGAGAGCACGCACCTGGGACCCCATATTGGTTGAGGATAAGCGCTCCCGCCTCCGAGCACGCGCCTGGAACATATTGGTTGAGGAAAAGCGCTCCGGCCTCGTCGCCTTCTTCGGGATGAGACCACGCACCTGGGACCCCATATTGGGTGAGGATAAGTGCTCCGGCCTCGTCCCTGCCTCCGCCTTCTTCGACTGAGACCACGCACCTGGGACCCACATTGGTTGAGGATAATCAGCGCTCACCTCCTCACTTCGGTCTTCTTGGGGTTGGGACCACGTACCTGGGACACCATGCAGGCGAGCCTGCACGGCTTCGTTCCCGCTCCCGGCCTTCTTCTTCTTGAGGATACGCACCTGGCACTCCACGCTGTTGCGGTCTAAGTGAGCGGGTTGGGAGGGGAGGGGGGTGGGAAGGGGGTGGGAGGGGCAGAGCGGATGGAGGGAAGGGGGGGACCTCCGGAGGGGGCACCGGGTGGGGGGGGGAGGGAGGGGGGGGAGGGTGGGGAGGGGTGCGGGGGGA